TCATAATACTTTCTAGTTGTACATTTATTGAATAAATAAAAAGATTAATTTAGTACTTATCAATATTATTTTATTAGCCTAAATTTTTGTATTAGTCATATAATATTTAAAACTTTTTTGGATGCTGATTTTACTCTGGTCTATATTATTATTATACTAAATACTGTTAAAATTAATTACTTAACTGTAGAGTTTGGGACACAAATAAAAAATTTAACATGCTTATATAGATATGTCTTTAGGTTAAGCCATGCCTATTATACTTATAAGCATGTTCATCTGTGATTATGTGTCCAAAACCTATCACTAGCCAATCATAGTATAGCATGCATTAATTTTAATTAGTCAATTATTAAATATATAATTACATATACACTACATATAACAGCTGACTTTGATCAAATTGTTAATATAGTTTAGACTGTTTAAAGTTAATTATTAAATTAATATTAATATTTTAAACTCAAAGATAAAGATAAAAGAAAAATTTAAACAAATATATATATTCTCAAGAATATTTGATTAAATTTCTTAACTAACCTTAATTATATAATTAATGAAACTTATTTTATATTATGATTAGCTTGTTTTTTTTTTTTTTGCTTACACTAAGACTGTAGTTATCAGCAGCTATTGCCTTTTATTATATTTTAATTATGATTACATAATTTGTACAAGGTGAATATACAACTAGCTACATATACAACTTTTGGTTGTCTATTTTAAATAGTTCATCCATACAGCAGGTTTTACATTAGCTGCTATATCTGCAATCTACTAGAAATTACCTATTTAAATACTCTAATTTCTATACTTACACTGACAAATAACATATAAGTTCTCATATATCTAAGTGTTGTCTAAGCTAATCATGACCTTTCTGTCTGTATGTTCATTAAGCTGTTATATATTTTAGAATATATTACCTAACTATAAGACTCCAAAAGGCCTTTCTGCTGACTAACTACTTACATTTAGTCTCTTGCTAACAGGGCTCATTTTTGCAGAGTTTACTTAGACCTCAATATTGACTTCATAACATATTCCTAGTACTTATAGTATATTTCAGCTTTTAACCTTAGACTTTCAATCCAAATAGTTCAGTAGAACTATAACCTGTTTCTGGTAGTTCAGGATTTGTCTTCCAAGATTTTTTTTCTCTAGTTTAAGACTTCCAGTAGTTTGGTTGATAGTATCTCTTATCTGAGATTCTTGTTTATCTGATTTCTTTCATATTGGTATTTGTTTTCTAGATCTAGCCTTTACAGTGATACTGTTAAAGATCTGTGCTATCTCTTTACTTGAGTCTTCCTAAGTAGGCTCTAATTTTCTCAGTTCACAGATTTATATAGTCATGAGAGCTTATCTTGGGTTTGCACTAACTGATGCCAGTTTGCATTTTTTGTATAACTTTAATATTGCACAGATGCTCTATGACCTGCCAGTCATGCTAGTATGATAATATTACAGGTATCTAATCTCAACTGATTAATGAAATGCCAAAGGGTGTGATAACTTAGTAAAGTAGATAAGTTGTCATATTCCCAAGTAGTAAGTTGTAAGTTCAAAACCTACTGATAATGAAATTTGGATAATCACCTATATAATATATAGACAGTATTATGGTGACAGCATTCTGTCAATCAGTTAGGATAGAATATCTGTAATTATGATTATACTAGCATGACTGGCAGGTCTGAGGCATTTGTATAATCTGTTATATAGAGAAATGTAAACTGGTACTGGGCAATGCAAATCTAAAATAAGTTCTTGGATCATATAAATTTGTAGAACTGGGAAGCTGAAACTCATTTGAAAATTCTAAGCAGAGAAATAACATAGATCTTTAATAGTACTACTGTAAAGACTAAATCTAGAAAATGAATATTAATGTGAAAGAATTAAATAGACAAGAATCTTGAATAAAGAATATTACCAACTAGGCCATTGGATTTTAGACCAGAGGAAAAGAATATTGGACTGGTTTCAATATATCAAAGACAGATTACAGTCCTTCCAGACTATCTGAATTAGGAGTTTGAATTCAAAGCAGAGGTATACTAAAAGTACTAAAGATATGCTATTAAGTCAGTGCTGGGGTTTGAGTAAACTCTGTAAAGGTAGCCCATATTAATGTTCTAAAAGTAGGTAGATAGTTAACAATAAGGGGTCCTCTGTATCTTACTGGCAGATGATGTATTCTATAATATGTAATAGTCTAGAAATTAGTACAAAAAGAGTAGATACCATACTGCTTAGATAGTATACTAGTTAGGTATATACTGGAGATAAGTTGGGATTTTAATATAACAGGGCAGATGATCAGAAGATTTAAATGAATAATCTCCTAGTAGGTTATAGGTATGGCATCTAGTATAGAACCTTAGAATAGACTACTTAAATAAGCAACCAAAAGTTATATATATGACTAGCTGTACTCTCATCTTTATAAAATTAGTTGTAATAGCTAATCCAATGTAAGTCAATAAAATATCACCACAAGTATGACCTTTAACAAAAAAAAAAAAAAAATTGAAATTATTGCTGTAATACCACTTATCTTTTATAATACTGATATAACATAGATAGTTTTTCAAATTTTTGCTATTGATAGGTTTTGAACTTCTAACTTACCATTTAAAAGGTTGATAACTAAACCATTTCACTAAGTTGTCACACCTCTATAATTAGCTTGCTTAATACTTAGAGTATCAGTTAATTAAGAAAAAAGAATAACATTAATCTAATAATTAAATTTTTTTTTTTTTCTTCACTATCCTAAAGGTCCTTAAACATCTTTAGAACCTGTTATATTTCTTTAAAGACCAGAATTATCATTTAGTAAAGATTGTTAGATGGTATATAATTCTCATATTTATTACTATATTTATGAAAATAGCTTATGCTTTATTAAGTCCATCATATGATATTCTGAATCTCTGGCTCTGTAATGTAGAATTTATTATCTTTTTATTCAGTTTGCAGTTCTCTAACTTTACATAACATATCAGTTGGTTCATCCTTTATATTTAATGTTCTTTAACTGAATTTCTTTAATGTTAACATCATTTGTTAACAGATTTACCTTTTCTGATCATTTCTGACTCTGTGGCTATGCTGACAGACCGCATTCTTTTGTATAAATCTTTTTTTTTTTTTAATAAAAAATCCTCTAAAGATCTTCTAATTATGATTCTAGTGAAGTTGTTGTTATTCAGTAGGATTTGAATTTGTAACTTTATGTTTGTAACCTAGAAGCACTAACTACTACACTATTGACTCACAAGTCTAATAATTAATTTTAAATAATTCTACTATAAAATAAATTGTTAAAAAATATATAGAATATAAAAATTCTAAGACTATACTTTACATTTTATAATATAATCTGAAAAAAAATTAAATAATTTAGAAATTAACAATAAAATATATTTTGTCTTATAAGTCAAGACAATTTAGTAATTAACAAAATAAATCAGACTTTAGTTAAAAAGTTTTAAATTTTTTTTTAATATAACAAAGTTTTATAATATAATAAATATAAACATATATAAGACATATATAATTACATGTTTTGTTCTATAGTTAATTGTTTTTTATACTGTCTATACTCTTTTGCACATATTTAGTATATTCAGTATTTTGTTTGTTTTATTGTTAAATTAGTACTTTTAGATTACAGTAGATAGATTAGTGTAACTTTAAAATTTGTTTAGTACTATAACATAGTATATTTGTATTTGTAAATTATAAATTAAAAGGTTAATTGATACTTTATTAATTTATAAATCTCTTTTTTTTTTTATATATATTAACGGTAAGGCAATTTATGAATTTCTTATACAAAGTTTGTTTTATTTTTAATAATATTTAAAAATTATATAATTTGATTAGTTAATTATCATATATAATTATAAATAAATTTACAAAAATTAATCAATTTTATGACATTATCTTAAGTATGAACATGCCTTTTGGCTATATGGCATGCCCCTGTGGCCCTGAACCCTACTTAACCGTAATAGCGATTTTTTAAAAAGACGTGATTTGCACGTTACACCTGCTCCTACAATTTAATTGGCTATGATCACGTGCCGGAAAATTTTTTGTGAGTGATATTTTGGGGCAATATTAATTAAATCTATTTAATAGTTTATCTTTTTTAATTGGGTGAGTCACATGCTCAACATTTTTTGGACACAACCTAATATTGACTTTATTGCTGTAATACTACAGGACTATGATAACTCAATTCTATGGTACAACCAAATTGTTATACTTATTTTTAGAATATACCGTATTTTAGGTTAAATGATGCGTAGTTTATTTGGATGCCGCCAAGGGAAACCTAACTTGGTGAATTTAAGTTTATTTATTGTTATTTGCTAGATTCAGCCCTGATACGTAATTAGGTTAAATTGACACTTGAATAATAGGTTTTTCTTGGCACTCATTTCTGATTTTAAAAAAACAGTGAACCAAGTCACGTGATCAAAGATTTAAAGCCGTTCGCGCCATAACTTATTGTTTTAAGTAGATAGTAAGCGTTTACGAATTTAATAGCATACTTAAATATTTGGCCGAGAATCTTCTGATGTATCTACCCGGCTAGCTGTCATCGCAGGCCGATACGATACCATCACTAGTTATCGATATTGAGATACATGAGATGACCATAGGCGCTAATTCGGGCTATGTATGCTATTATTGACAAGATTTCAAAATAACACCCTTTTTTGAATAATAATTTATAGTTAAATAGGAATCGATAAGCTCTATGCTTGGTTAGAGTCCGGCCAGTCAGTCTCAAGATAGGCGTCTCCATGCTCGTCTCAAAAATTCTCGCTTAGCTTCCTACTTCGCCTCTAAATTTTAAAGTTAATCTTATATGCAGAAAATTGCTGCAGCTTATACTAAATATTAAACAGTCTCACCACACTCCCCATGACTCAATGCCTAATAGTAAATCGTTAATTATAATTATCAACAGTGCTAAAAACTCACACGTGTAATCCTTCTTTTATTGAAGGCTTTCTAGTTGTTGCAAATGAATTCCACTTTGATGATATCCAGTTTCGCCCCAAAAAAGTATTAGTGTATAAATATATAATAATTATAATAAAACTTGAGTTGCTTCCAACATTTGTTTTGTCAAATTTTATTAGTTCTTCGAAGCTATCTATGAACTTTCCAAACAACACAGCACCTAGCGTATTCAAAACCTTGGCTTGTCTTTTTCTCTTCTTTCTAACAAAATTCTCACAAACTTTCATTAGCATTTGGTTTGATAGTATCAAATCTTTTTTACTGGAAGCTACAAGTTTACTAAGAGGCTCTGAATCAATATCTAATATCTCAGAACAAATTGGGTAATCATTATGTTGTCTATCTCGTTTTCTGGTCTTATCCACTGTATAGTATTTCCCTTGACTTGAGACGTGCTTCAAGCACCCAGAATGGTGCCTCAACTTTTATATGTCACTATTATTTAAATTTTTAAAAATTTTTATTATATATCTTTATTGTTTTTATTCTTGATATAGCTGTGATTGCATAGTGTGTACTCTATATATTAGTCACACCTCTATATAATCACCATTTTTTGTATCCTAAAAGGTGACTATAGAAAGGTTCGACTATAAGTAAAAATCATGTAAAAATACATTTATTTTACACATTATAAAATTCGAAATTATCCTAATACTCTAAGTTCGATGGAATGTTGTTGGTCTATTCCTAAATAACCATCACTAATTAAAAAAACCGAATAAGTGTATTTACCCTCCCGTTTTGGTGTGACTAATTTCAACTTCGTTTGAATTTTTTTCATGAATATACCTGATGTTCCACTACGCATATTTACTCTTCTCAAATCAATTATAATATCTGAGTTGGGATCACCTAGCAGAATCCACCACGATTCATATTGAGGTTTCGGGAATCGAGGTGAATATATCCTTCCATTACAGTCTGATCTCAATTTAAATCTTTCCATAGACACTAAAAGTGTATATTCAGTTTCAGGTGCCAATGATTCGTTATCCGCATCTATATGGCAGCTAAGTTCTACTGATGGAATGTCCGATACTATTTTACAGATCTGTAATTATGAAAAATAAATAAATAAATATTTGATAAGTAATCAATAAAAACTAAACACAAACCTTTTGAACTTCAGACTCTGAAAGATTAACGCTTTTGAATAGATTTATTAGTTCCTCTTTAGAAAGATCAGTCAATTCACCGATACATGTGATAGTTCGGCCCTAAAGAAATTTATAAATAAGGTTAATCTGCTTAAAAAAGAAATCAACGACGTATATGCATACCTTATGCGCAAATGAGCCAATCATTTGACTTACAACTCCGGGTAATGTCAATAATGACGATTCGTCAGGCCAGCGCGCTTGTTTAATACATTGCAGTAAAGTCATTATATTTAAGCATGTCGCTAACGTCTTCCGTTCAACAGAAATGTCAATCATTGCCTAAAGTAATAAAAAGAATCAATTAAATACTATTAAAAATTAATTAGCTTTCCAGAAGAAATATTCACTAACCTGTGCAATTCGAACTGCTTGATCCAATACAGACAGAGTATCTGTAACATAATCAGTGATAGGTAATTTGATTCTAGCAAAATGTGCTTGAAGCAACAAAAAGGTTTTTGCATGAGGACTGTCATAAGGTTGATGAAATTGTACGGGCCATGGAAGATCCTTTTCCAAATCTTGATTTTGCAAGTCCTCATTGTGACGTACTGGAAGCTCAGCATATTCGTCAGAGTCACAAAGAATACCCAAGAGGTCTCGGACAGATACATCGTTTTTGATGCGATTGCGAAAGAGACGTATCGTTTTATGTGAGAGATAGTAATCAGAAGCGACTTTTCCAAAAATGGTTGTCATTATGTTGTAATCTTCGTCATATTCTACACATCCAGAAATATTAAGCTCGTTTATTGACTTTTCAAACAATTTAGACAGAAAATCATCTATCGCCTTTTCGGAATTTTCCTCTAAACCATAATAAGCTGGGTTCTGTCGCAGCCTTCGATAAAAATACGTGCAAACAAGGTATCGCATCGCATCCTCTTTTGACTTGATGCTCTTTGACATTATCTCCGCGTTTAAATGGTTTTCAAGTTGCACATGTAAACTAGATTCAACTGGAAATGGTTCGTACAAAAATTTCTGATAGAATGTCTTTTTGGAATCTTGAACAAAAATACATGCCACACCACTATTATCGAACTGCGGACGGCCTAAGTAAAAATAAAATAAAAATAAATTGTAATATTGATAACAATAATAGATACATCAATTTTACTAAAAGTTTATACCTGCTCTTCCCATCATTTGAAGTACATCTGTAATTGGAAAGTCAACATACCCTTTAGATTTTCCATCAAAATATTCAGTCCCTTTAATTATTACAAGATGAGCTGGCAGATTAACACCCCACGCCAATGTACTTGTAGCAACAAGCACTTGAATCTTTTGATGCAAGAAAAGTTCTTCTACTATTTTTCTGTCACTTTCTACTAGCCCAGCATGATGCAATCCGATACCAAAAGCAAGTGAATTTTTCATGCTACTGTCATTAATTTGAGTAAGTATCATTTGTAATTCTTCATCTTGCATTTTTAAAAAATGATATGGATTATCGGTCATGCAAACATATGCAATCAAATCCTGTGCAGTCAAACGCGTTTGCCTACGCGATGATACAAACACAATCACAGGTTTTTGGGGAGAATGACACATAATCTTTGCAAAAGCAGGTTTATTCATGGTAGCCATACGAGGACAATAATGTCTGCCGGAGAAACCCTCAATTTCAATCTCTAAAGGTACAGGACGCACTGAATGACTAAAATTGAACAGTCCATCTTTTTCAATATTTAACCAATCTGCCAAATCTTTGGCGTTTGCAAGGGCTGTTGATAATCCAACAATGCGCACTTTCTTATCAGTTTGTGATCCGATATAATTCATGCGTGACACGATCGCCTCTAATATAGGGCCACGATCACCTCCAAGTAAATGAATTTCATCTATGATTACAAGTGAGACAGCTTGTACATAATTTCGATGTTGCCAACTACGGCTAATTCCATCCCATTTTTCTGGTGTTGTTATAATTATATCTGCTTTCTCGATAGATCTAAGATCCGGAGTTACATCTCCAGTCAACTCCACAAGCTTTCTTTTCGTCGGCCCAGTCAGCCTACTTTGCCAATCATCTACACGTTCTCGAACAAGTGCTTTCAGCGGTGCAATGTAAACGACTTTAGACCGTGGAAATTCTCGAAATGCCCACCTAATAAATAAAGACTAAGAATTATGATAATCATTTAAATGGTTCTATTTATGACCAATATTTACCACATAGCGAGTTCGGCTGTAACAGTTTTACCAGAACCTGTTGGTGCCCCAACTAACACATTATTTGATGTCTTGTATAACGTATCAAAGACTTGTGTCTGCACAGGGTTGAAATGAGAAAACCTTTGGGCATATATATTTTCAAGAATTTTATTATTAAGGCTAGATATAGGCAGTGGTGGAAGATTTAGCAATTCTGTATGCTCATGGTTATGATCAGGCAATATAAGATTTTGTAAAGAAATTGGATGAATGACTTCTGATCCAATCCATCTATCTGAAACAACTTTTATAAAAATTTGAGGAGGAAACGGTTCTTGAATCGGAATTGCAAAGCAAATATTCTGTGTTTCACCAAGTTGCTTTTTATTCAGTATGAAATACTCTGAGTGATAAAGATCTGCATTATTAGCATCTTCAACAAATATCCACCAAGGTTCTACTGTACCATGAACTCGTTCATTCCAAACAAAGTCAGGCGTGATACTGAGAATTAAACGTAAAACGTTGCGAGTAATTGGAGCGATCTGCGCATCAAGTTTGAGTAGAGGAAATTGGTCCACACATTTAGAAACTACTAAACCCATGCGTTTGTTACGCACAAGCTGTCCAAGTTCAGCCGGATTCATATCTCTCATTCTTTCAATGGTCGGTTTACGTGGAATAGAATCAAGTTTCAAACAAATCTCCCGTGGCAAACCAAATTGAATTAAAGGAGTCTCAAACATCCACATTTGCTTGTCAATACATTTACTAAATGTCAACAATTGTGATGTCACTTGACTCATGTTACGATGAAGTGCGATTTCGAATAAAGCTCGAACTACTCGGCTAGCAATTTGAACTACATAAGCTGAGTCCGAAACCAAAGCAAAATCTTCAGGTCTGACACCAGATAAGTGTGATTGTAGCAAAATATTGACTTTTCCTTCCGTGGTATCGACATCATACTATTATAATATTGATATACAAATTTATAAAAAATTAACATCAAATATCTGCAAATTTTTTTATAATACCTTTATTTGACAATGGCATGCGTTTTCTTTAAGTTTTAATAACTCTTTACTCTCCTCCTCTCTTGCTTTGAGATCCTCAAATTCACTACTTCTGCTTATCATAGCTAAGATATCTGCTTCTAACATGTGTTCTTTTAATTGTTTATTGAAAATTTCAATATTCTTATAGCTTATATAATAATTTGATGCAATACGTCCAATATCTCTGGAGCTGAAATAATCGCTTTCAGTATTAAACGTAATCATCTCATTTTTATGAAGCTCCTTTGCAGCAAACTCGATAAGCGTACGGCGTTTTATACCAAGTTCGGGATCCTCATAGGGCTCCTTCGGATCAATCCCATAAACAAGAGGATTTTGCTTCATGCGAACAAATAGATACGTGTAACCTAGCCATCTAACACCTTCGTCAACTGTTGACACAGTACCAAGAGATATTTCTGCATTTAAATTGTCAACCAGACTGTTGACAAACCTGAAACGAAGCCAAAAACATTAGAAATGATCAATAAGTGCATTAATCTTGGTAAATTTCAGATTTTTAATTATTTACTTGGATTCAATAGGATACTGTTGTGTCATTGCTGATACATAATTGGACAGTTTGTCATTAGTCGTCAATATATATCCAACTCCATATGTTTCATACTATTAAAGAACACGAGTGAATAGAGAACAACTATAATGATATAGTAAATTAAACAAACTTCATTACCTGTGGACGACCTGCTCGGCCAAAAATTTGCATGACGTCTAAAATGGACAAATCAACGAAATTACCTTTTTGTGTATCATATACATGAGTACCTTTAATAATAACAGCGTAGGCTGGTAAATTGACACCCCAAGCCAATGTTGCTGTGCAGCATAAAACCTTCAAATGATAATTGAAAATATTAATAATCATTTATTTGTTTCTTACAAAACAATGCTAATGTACCTTGATAAGTCCTTCTTCAAATAAACGCTCGGTCATCGTTCGGTCAGATCTTTGCATACCAGCATGATGAATTCCAAATGAAGAAGAAAACAGTTCAACTAACTCCTTGTTTTTAGATTTTGCGACTTCTCGTTTTGCTAACTCGAAACGTTCATGTGTTGAATTATTAAATAATTCTATAACATATACAAAATTAAAAATTAAACATCCAACAATAAGAAAGACTCCTATAATAAACGAATGTTTAGTAGATTTACCATCATACCCATCCTTAGTGGCAAATTCACGTAATAATTGTGCCGTTTTTACAGTTTCTTTTCGCGCATGAACAAAAACCATCACTTGATGTCCTTTCTTGACAAGGTCCAATACCTAAAATCGATACGCATTTGTATAATAGTTCATTATTATTAACATTAAATCAAGTAATAAACGCATACCTTTTCCCAGCAAACATGATTAAGATTGTTATTTGAAGTTGATGATCCGGGTTTTCCTTTTACACCAATAAAATGTTGTTCAAGCGGTACAGGTCTAAACCCTCCATCAAAATAGAATAAGCCCTCCGCACCATTATTAAGGTTCACTCTATAAATTAGAAGTAAATTTTATTAGACATATAATTAATTATGCGACGATGATAAAATAATGGAACTGTAAAGCCAACCCCAAAAATCGAGCTACATCCACATAATTATGTAATGTTGCTGAAAGACCGATAATACGAATCATTGATTGACTAGATTCAACCTAAATAAACGCAAAACCGTCAATTGACGAAGTGCAGATACATTCAAATGAGTGCTCTAACGAGAATGTTAAATTTACCTGACGACGTGTTCTAGCAACAAGACTTTCAAGAACAGCACCTCGATCATCATGTAATAAATGCACTTCATCGATGATAAGCAATTTGACTTTCTATATTTAATTATCATTTAGAATGTCAGCATTACATTAATATTGATTGGTATGTACACATACATAATATACTTTTAAAAAAGGCACAAACTTTTGACAGCTCGGTATCTCCTGTACTCTTTCTTGTCACTACATCCCATTTTTCAGGAGTAGTTACGATGATTTGAGTATTAGAAATTTCTGTTTTTGTTAATTGTATATCACCTAGAGACAGAACATGTAGCAATATCAATAATATATTAAGAAATTATGTGGTAGAGACAAGCCCTTCTAACGTATTTATGTAGACATACCAGTTAATTCTCTCACTTGAATGCCTAACCATTCTAATCTTTTACCGAGTTTTTTCACAATTTCAGCCACTAAGGCTTTCATCGGTGCAATATAAACGACCTTAAACTCATTCTTCTTAATAGTAAAGTTTTGATTTTCTGAAATTGTTGAGGGATTAGGATCGCAGTATTGATATAAGATTCGGAGAATTGCAAGCATAGCTACGTCTGTCTTGCCCTGTTTAAAAAAAAAAGAATAATAAATAAATCTATAAATTGCTTGCTAAATAATTTCAGAATTATGAATTATTTGATGGTCAACGTACTGCTCCTGTGGGAGCACAAATCAGCATATTATCGTTTTTTTTATAAGCAACAGGGTAAACGATTGATTGTACACAATTAAGTGATTTATATCCCTAAACAATAAATCGAAGATGAATTGGAAATTAATAAATCAAGTAATTAATTCTATTAATTTTATAATTAGATTCAATGTTGGCAACACTGGATCAATGAAAAGCTTAGAATTTTTGCCGCATATAACTGGATGACTAAATGTAAAAGTTAATAATAAAACAATGAAACAGTGAAATAAATAGCAAAAAAGTCAATAGAGCAATAGAGTTGCCAACACTGGTACCAAATCATTTCTTAACCAATATGCTCTTACTTTAAATGAACCTTTACAAAGATAATCCATTTCTGCTAAAGTAATTAACTTTTGGTTTTTTAGTTGTGGTGCTTGTTCGGTGATAGGAATTATTATTTCTTCATGATCCTGTTAAGCGCATTAAGAATATTAGTTGTATAAGCTATAAGTCACAAACTATTAATGATGCTCTAACAAGAATTACTTACAGCATAATTGTATTGTTTAGTCCCAGATGGTAGTGAATATTTGGTTCCGAAGACAGATAAAACACTACCAGGTTGAGTTTTCCCAAAAACATGCTTGAAACTCTCCGAAAAAATTGTCTGAAAATTTTGAATAGATTAGAAACTTCATTTTTCAAAAATCAGTACAAATTTTAGATTCAACTTACACGCTGAGGAAGTAATGGCAAATCATTTGCAGCGCGTAGTTCATGTTCTCTAATTTCACGTAGCTTATCAACGTCAAAGCCTAATATTCTGGCAGATAGGGATTCTTCATCCTCTTAGAAATTTTAACAACACGTGATAATATGAATAAAATTATAACCATAAGCGTCGTAATATTGAAAATATGTAAATATATACCAGTACTCCGATTCTTCATTGCCTTTTTATATTCCTTTTTCAGTCGTTTCATTTTTTTTACATCGTCTGCATACTGAACGGTAACTTGTGAACCAAACTGAGGGCGCTTTGGCTCAGTTGGGATTGAATCAAACAGAAGATCCGATTTTTCAAAATAATCCTGATTGATGCATAATACAATTAAAAAGAAAGAAAGGAAACTCTATTAAAGATTAATAAATATACTCTCACCATTTGATTCTCATTAAAATCAGAATTCATACGTATGTTTTCAACGATCTCGAACCGGTTAGTAACCAGCGCTGTAACAAAATTAAGGTTTTCATATCCAAGGAGATCAACGAGTTCTGTTTCAATGTCATCTGATGGTATAACCAATATTAAAATTGTACCTAAATGAAATTTTTTTCATTGAAATATATAATACACACCTTTTTTATCGGATCTCAGTACTGTAAATATATTTGTACATAATTTTATGGGTGTTATAGCACCACTTGCATCTCCAAATGTTGATATATGTGATTCACATTGTCTGATAATATAGTTATAATGATTAAAAAATAATACTGGGGAAAAATCAGAAGAAACCAAGGTCGATTGTAGGCATACTTTAATAACCATTCCTTGTCAAAGACTGCACTTTCGTCTTTATATTGATCCTTAATTCCATCTAAATTAAAGTCTTGAATTCCATTTTCAAGTTCATTATCATGAAAATCATCATAAAAATATGATGTTGGGAGATCGTTGAAGAATAGATCAGATCCGTATTCATTCTCTTTAAGATCATAAGCTGATTTATACAAAATATGATTCACACGTGTATTAGTAACGGTTAGAAGAGTTGTGAACTTGAAAAAAATGTTCGAGATTACATACAGGTTTGTTGTTGCCATTGAATACTGCATTAATAAATAATTACAACTTTTTTTTTAAAAAAAAAAAAAACATAAGACCAAATGATTAATTTAAAAATTATGCTCACTTTTGATTTTGTTGAAGAATTTGCTTAAATTGACTTAAATTGTATTTCAATTCTTCTTGCGCTTGATGAATATTTTCCAACAAATTAGTTGTAAAATCAACCGCTATGGCCTTTCCTTTTCCTTTACTCTCTGATTCGCTTTGAAAATGAGATTTTCGTAATAAATCGGAAAATCGGAAAAATGATGGAGGATTTAAGTCCATTTTTTAAAGGAGAAAATGAAAGAACATGTATCAGTATCGAGTATACGTTTTTAGATGATTAAATATATACAGTTGTGTTACAAGATCAATTAGTCGATCATGTCTTATCTTTATAAATCAATTGTTAGGGTAATTTTATTTATACACCTATGTACTTTTCTAGAATGTAACGTTTCACTAACGCTAAAAAATTGCACTGCGCACTGCGCATGAATATGGTTGCAGCAAAATTTGAATTTCTGCAACTAAAGTCCGAAGTGCAGATGTAGTGGATTTAGGGATGTTAACTGGTTAAAAACGAGTTATATTGATTGCAAACTGGCAGTTAATTACATAAACTAGTTTTGACTAGTTGCATAAAGTGGTTTGTAAAATTTATGTAACCGGTTATTAAAAACTAGTTAAATAAAGATCTATATATACTTTTTCATGAATATATAAGTTTTGAAGCAAAGTAATTTTCTTGTTGAAAATAGAAGCAAATGACAAAGCAAAAAAGATTAAACCAAAAATTTTTTATAGAGTTCCAAAACATGAAAAATATTAAAAAACAATAAATATAATTTTTTTAAATAACAAAAAAAAAACAAAAAAATAATTTAAGCTTAGTAAACAAAGAAAAAGTTACTAAAAATAATCAAAAAGAAAAGTTGAAATTGAAAAAAGTTTTTTTGAAAATCTAGCAAAGTTGAAATAAACAAATAAAAAAAAATAATAATAATAATTCTTTTTATTTAAAAATAAAAAAAAATAAAGCAAATATATTTAAAGACAACACAACAATAAACAATATGTATAATAAACAACATGTACAATAAACAAGTAATAGCATGTTTAAAAATAAAAAAACAACAATATAAAAAATAGATAATATAACAAATATACATAATAACAGTTTATTAGATAAAAAGTTTGAAACTAATTTCTATATTAATTTACGAAAAACAGTATCAACAAAAAAGTTTAAAAAAAATATTAACTAAATAATATATAATCTAATTTTTTTTAAAACTAAAAAAAAAAGTTAACTTATATATAATTATATTTTTAGAAATTATATTAGATCTAAAAACAAAATAAAATAATAATAGATATTTAAAACATTTATAGTTTTTTTAATGAAATTATAAGTTTTTTATTTATTAATTATATATATATATTTTTTTAGCTTTAACAGCTTTGCTAATTATCTTTATTACAGGGTGTGGATCTCATAGCTTAGCGGTTAAGCTCCCATACCTTCCACAGTCAAGGTCAACAGTTCAAGTCCAGCTAGAGGCAAAAATTAAAAGATTTTAGCTTCTGTAACCTAATAAGGAGCCTGTAATTGAATACGAAGCCCTGTGGTTAAGTCCAAG